CTTCTCCTCTACCTCCTCCTCCTCCTCCTCCTGCTCCTCCTCCTCCTCTTTCTCCTCCTCCTCCGTCTCCTCCTCCTCCTCCTCGTCCTCCTCCCCCCCCTCTCGTCGTTTGAGTGGGGGTGGGAGGCTGGTTCTGGGCCGGAGGACCCGTGTGAGGCTGCGGGGGTTTGGTTCGACTTGGCCGAGCGTTTGCTCTGCTACCGCCACAATGTACCAGAACATGATAAGAGGAAGCACTGCGGGCGTCGAGCGGCCTGTACATTTAAGCAGGTGCCTCCGTCAGCGGCGTGGGGCAGAGAGCTCCGCCGCCGCTCGACTCGCAGCACTTTGAAATGGCTGTCGTTTCGTAGAGTACTGGCGCAGCTGCTGTCGCTGCCCGCGTCGAGCGAGCAGGTCCGGCCTCACCTCCTCTCGTGTTTGCTCGAGGCCGACGCCATCATCCCTGAGGCCTGGGAGGAGGAGCTGAGGGAGTTTTCGGCGCTCCAGGTTTTGGAGTCCCTGCAGGACCCTGATCGGAAGACCTCTGTGTTTGCTGCCCTGGCTCGTGAATGCCAGGCTCGGCTTGAGGCGGACGCGAAGCGCGCAAAGCAGGAATGGCAAGACTTCTGTAAAGAATCCGTCACCAAGGGAGCCAATAAGACCCACGATTTTTGAAGGAGCCCGGTTCAGCGGCTTCCCCGGTGTGGGGGGACGAAGGCGAGGAGGGTGGAGCCCCCCTCGCAGGCCAGCAAGCTTTGCGTCAGATCCTGAACGAGTGGGAGCCCCTTTGGGATAACTCGACGCGCAGGGGGGAAATTCACCCGGCAGCATGGGAGGTCCGGGACGACCTGCCCCCCATCACGGCAGAGCAGGTTTTGGCTGCATGCAAATCGTTCGGGAGGGGGAAGGCTTTGGGTTGGGACGGCTTTCACCCTCGGTTGATGGAGCAGCTGCCATCAGAGTTTGCTCGGAGATTTGCGGATGTGCTGCATGCTTGGGAGGCGGATCCGCGGGTCTCTCAGCTCTGGCTCATTCTGGTTATTTTTCTAGACAAGCCGACTGGGGGAGTGAGGCCGATCGGCCTCCTCCCCCTCTGGTCGAGGGTCTATTCGAAAATTCGGCACCAGGAGTGCGACAGGTGGGAGAAAACCCACGGCTGTAAATTGTTCTGGGGCCAGGATAGCTCGTCAGCGTGCGACAAGAGTGCGTGGCTCCACAATGCCCTTGCGTCTTATGCAAGGCTCAAGGGCCTCTCCATGGCCTCGGCCTTTCTCGACCTCCGGAAATACTACGAGAACATCGGCCACGCTGAGCTCCGAGAGGCAGCTCGCGAAGTAGGCTTCTCAGAGAAGTTGTTGCGATCGTTGTGCTGCATTTACCGTGCGGAGCGGCGCGCAGTATTTCAGTCAATCACGTCGCCGGCGCTGCATGCGAATGGTACAGTAGTAGCGGGCTGCTCTTGTGCAACCTCACTGGCCAGAGTTATGGTTTTGGTGACTCTTCGCAAGGCAGCAGCGGCCAATCCGATTGTCACGATCCGTAGTGTGATTGACGATGTTTCGTTTCAAGCCCTTGGGGGTCCCACCACGGTTGCTCAGCAGTTGCCTCGAGCGTTTCAATTGGTTTCGCAGTCGATGATCTCCAGGGGCCTCCCAATTTCTTGGCATAAGGCGGGCTACTTGGCCGCGTCGAGCCAGCTGGCCGGGGACATGGCTCCGAATTGGGCCTTGGGGCCCGAGGATCGCGGTGTGGTCCACAGGGATCTCGGAGGAGATGCCGTGGATGGCACGGCTCGCAGGTGCGAGTCTCAGCTCTGTCGGTATCACGGCTCCCTCAGGCGAGGGAAGCGGCTGCGCATCCTACAAGCTGGAGGCGCGCAGATTGGAGCTGCCCATAGATCGGGGCCGACGGCGGTGGCGATGTGGGGGTCGTGTATCTCAGGAATCCCTGATGGGCGCCTCACAACGCTGAGGGTCCAGGCAGCTAAGGCACAAGGGAGGCTCCCTCGAGGAGCGTCCCTGGGCCTCTCTCTCATGTCCAGCCGGTCGGGCTGGAGGCGGGATCCGCTCGTGCTGACTAGCGCTGATTCTTTGAAGACCTTTGCTGCCGTGCTCTGGGAGGGGCACCTTGCGCGAGCGGTTCTGGAGGAGCTGCTTGCGCAGGCGATGCAGCATGCTCAGAAGCTTCGTCCATGGATCTCGGCCAAAGATCCTGTGATGGCCCTGGTCCTTACGATGAAAAGGGTGGGGTGGAGCTTTCGCGGCGTGACCGCTGCGGTTGACGACTGGGGCGGGGAGTGGGACCTGATGTTTTATTCGCCAGGTTTCTTGTCTCAGCTCGTGGCTCACTCAGCCCAGCGCGCGTCCGACAGGCGAGCGCTGTTGCTGCAGGACAAACGGGGGCCGTGGGATTCGGGGCTTTTTTGGAGACCCACGCTGGAGCTCTTGTTCGCCAAGCCCTCGGAAGGATGGACGCAGCACGATCAGAACGTGCTGCGAGGTCTCATTGTGGGATCCCATTGGAATCAGCTGCTTATGAATAAGCACGAGCCGTCTCTGCCTGACGTTTGCATGCTTTGTGAAGGAGGTCACGGTACCTTCTTTCACCGAGCGTTTTGCTGCCAGGCCCACGCCCTCTGGAGGCGTGACAATCTTGAGTCCCTGGTCGAGCGCGCGCAGAAAAGAATGGCCACGGCGCCGCACCAATGGAGAAAGCGGTTTGCGAGAGCGATCTTCCCGGAGCCGAATCAGTGTTTTCGCCGCCGGGATTTTCAGGCGGAATGGGAGGTCCGCTACCAAGGTGTGGATCTGCCAGTGCTGCTAGAAGGGGGATACGTCTTTGTGGACGGATCGGGATTGGATGGTGATTTTCCGTCGATTCGCTGTGCTGGGTGGTCGGCGGTCTTTTATGATTCTGAACGTCGGTATGTGGGAGTGATGCATGGGGCAGTGCCCCCGCTTTTCGCGCCCCGGCAAGTGGCCAGAGACGGGGAAGACTTTGCGGTCCTGAAGGTGTCGGAGTTGGTGTTGGGCAAATTTTTGGTGTTATGTGATTGCAAAGGAACCCTTGCGTGCTGCATGAAGCCTGCCATGGCGCAGGCACCGTCCAATGCTCGGGCGCATATCTGGAACAGGGTCCATTCGAGAGAAGATTTCACACAGCGCCCCTTCATTCACGTCAAGGGCCACGCGACCTCCGGGGATGTGGAGGCGGGAAAAATCTCGCTGTTCCACCGCCTGGGGAATTCGCAGGCAGATGCGTTTGCAAAAAAAGGGGCGTTGCAAGCTAGAGCTGACGAGTCAGACGTCCGAGCCCTGGAGGGGTTCAGGGCTGTAGCGAGGCAAGTGGCGACGTATGTGGCGCGGTGCACGGCCATGGCTGTAGACACCGAGAAGAGAGACCACTTGCCCATCGATTACTTGAAGACGGTGGACCTTGGAGAGCTCCCCGGCGATCTTTGTGACGCTGAGGCCCTTGCCGTGCCCCTGGGCGCTCCTGTGTCCAGCCTCCCTCCTGGTGTTGTTGCCTTTTCGTCCCAGGGGGTGTCGGCGAGTGGTCTTGGAGAGGCTGCCATGTCCAGGGGCTTGCTCCACCTCAGTCCGTGGAAGGTTAACGAGCACAGTGGTTTAGCTGCCCAGGTCTCTGAAGGAGACCAGGTCCTGCTTTGCTCCTCTTGTTGGCAGTATGCGGTCCAGCTGAACCAGCGTGGCCTCAAGGAGCCGTGCAAAGGGACCCGTAAGATCTCTGGTGGGGCCGCATACACGTCCCGTTTAAGGCTCAAGAGGGGCGAGCACCCCACGAAAGCAGGCACGTTTTTCGCCGATGTTAGGTCCCCCTCCGGGGCCACCCGCGAGGGCTGGTCCAGCCACTTTGGTTTGGCAGCTGGTAGTGGGGGTACAGCTGCTGGCCCGAGCGTGCGCCCTTTCATTGAGCAGTCGGCCCCTGTTCGTATGGAGCTTGCTGCTGTGCTTTTCGCCTTTGGGTTGGGCTCCCGAGAGGAGGTGGAAGCTGTTGGTGCGCGTGAGCTGGAAGCTCGTGCGTTAGCGCTGTCTCGGAAGGCCAAGGGAGATCCCGACCCTGAGGCCATGTGATGTTTTTTTTGGGGGGCCCTGTCGGCGGGCCCTGCCTGGGGGATGGAACCTCAGGTTGGGAACAAAAAGTTCTCATCGGATGGGCGCCCCCACCCGATTTTCCCTTCTTTCCCCCTTGACTTCTCCCCTCTATGGGCAGTGAACCTCCTCCTCCTCCTCCTCCTCCTCCTTCTCCCCCTCCTCCTCCTCCGCTTCCTCCTCCTCCTGCTCCTCCTCCTCCTTCTCCTCCTCCTCCTCCTCCTCCACCTCCGCCTCCTCCTCCTGCTCCTCCTCCTCCTCCTCCCCTCCTCCTCCTGCTCCCTTCCCCCCCCCTCCTCCTCCTCCTCCTCCTCCTGCTCCTCCTCCTCCTCCTCCTCTTCCTCCTCCTCCTCCTCCTCCTGCCCCCTCCTGACTATCGGGCGCGCGCGCGCGGTCCTCCGCGCGGCACGTCTGACGGTGTGGCGAGTCGCCCACCCACGACGACCGAACGGTGTGTGCGTGTGTGATTGCGTGTGTGTTTCCTCCAGCTGCGCGATACAAGTTTTTCTGGCGTGCAAGAACGGTGTGTCAGTGTATGTCTTTGCGTGTCCGAGGCCATGTGGTTCAGTCGCTGACGGCCCCACTACCAGGTTGTACATTGATCAACTGTTGCCTGCGGAACGTTCACGCGTACATGAGCATGATGGCAACACGATTTACCATCGTTGTTATGCTGCCGCTGTTGGCCTGGGGGTACCGGGACTCGTGGAAGGCTTATTCTACCTTGGAAGAATCTGCAGGCTCACCCGTCCAAGCCATCGTGACCCAGCGCGAGCCAGTCGCAATATTGCCTCTCGTCGTTTTCTTTGCGCTGCTCCTCTGCTTGCTTGCTGGTGGAAGCTTTCTGGTGCAGAAGAAAACTGTTTCGGGCCAGACGAGATCGCAGGAGAGCGCATCTGAAGGCCAGCAGGCAGATGACAGTACCGCCAGCGATGGACACTCAGTTGTGAATTCAGTCTGGTGCTATTGCGTCATGTTTCTCTCAGTGCTTATTCCCGACCTCGCTGCGGTGTTCGTTTACTCGCCCGTGGGGCTGGGACCAGAAATCTACGACGGTGTTGCGAACACTTACTCGGACAGCCTCGGCGACCGCATTGTGATCGTCTCGGTCTGCTGGTTGATAGTGATGTTTGTGTTCGACATGTTCGACAGCGACACGTGGGGCTATGGAGTAAAAGCAGTCGTCCGCTTTCTCAGCTTCTGGATCCTGGTAGCACTGATTTTCTATGGCTTCACTCTCAAGTTTGTGAAGTATCCAACAATGCCCCTCATGATGTGCATGCTCGCCACGGTGTGCCTCCTCGCCGTCAGGCGCGCCCGGTGGAGTGAGGCGACCGTGGCCCTGCCCCACTTCTACTTGGCAGCGGGAGCCTGCTACGGCACCTGCGCGACCGCGATGCTCGTGGTATGGGTCGGCTGGATCAAGAGTGCAGACGGCGCACGGGATTTGTGGTGGAGCGCGGACACCCAACGCTGGCTGGTGAACAAGTACGCCGAGGTCTATCGGGTGCTGGCTCCCGGAGAGTTGGCGCTGGAGCCGTCGCCGCCGGAGCTGCAGGAGTACTGCCTCCACAAGACGCTGATCCACACCAACCTCGTGAGCACGAGCACCCAGGACCTGGTCGCCAGCGCCTGCGAGAGGGCATCCGCTGTCGTATTCGCGCAGTGGGCTGGGCCTCTCATGATCTTGTCGTGCAACCTGCTCGGTGCGGGCTTCTGCTGGATGTTCTCCAACACAATTGCGAATATCTCCACCGGGTCGGAGAGTGCGGCGGTCCAGAACAACAAGAAGGCGTTCGCCACATTCTTGAAGCGTTTCCTGCTCACCATCGTGCTCTCTGTGGCAGTCATGAATGCCTCGCTCTACGTGTCCGGCGCCGCTGCGAAACTGGGCTCCGAAATGACGGTCTTGGCGTGTGCTTCGCTCTTCGTCATGGTCCTGTGGCTGACCTTGGAGGTGGATACGCAGACCCTCAACGATATGAAAGATGCTACGCCACTTGTGAAGAATGTCATCAGCATTTTGCAGTCCAATTGGGCGAAGGCGATCGCTGTTGGAGGCCTGAACGTAATGATTCCCTTGGTCATGGCTCTGGACAAGGTGCGCCAGCAAGTACGGAAGAACTGCACCAAGAACGGCACAGAGAGCGGGAGTGACGACCAGTTCATGCGATCCCGATCCCACAGTAGATTTCTAGAGTCCGTGGATAGTTGGGATTGGACAGATATCTTGTGCAAGGTGTGCGTGGTGGCAGAAGTGTTTGTCATGCTCGCAGTCGGCTCGAAGGCAACGTTCATCTTCTTCTCCTACCTGAATGGAGAAATCGAGGCCGCGGGGCTACAGATGGGCACAATCTTCGTGATGGTGTGGATTATCGGGATGGTAATGTTCTTGAACCCCATCGTCCCTGGGAGTGCGGTCTATCTGTTCGCTGGCGTCGTGATTGGAGCACAGTCACAGAAGGAGGGCTCCGTCGGCATCTGGAGCGGCCTGGTGCTGGCATGCATCGCGGCAAGCGCGGCGAAGTTTGTGGCGTGCCTTGGCCAGTATGCGCTCGGCTATTTCATGGGCAAGTCTGTGAAAGTGCAGCAGTTCGTTGGCGTGACCAAGGTGGGCGTCTTGGCCACGGAGGCAGTACTGAAGGAGGAGGGCTTCAAACTGTCCAAGGTGTGCATCTTGGTGGCAGGCCCTGACTTCCCAACGAGCGTGCTCTGCGGCATACTCCGGCTGGACATTCCCCAGATGCTTCTTGGTACAGTTCCAGTCATCTTCGTGAGCATCATCCCGCAGACCCTCGTGGGTGTCTTGCTGACAAAGGAGGGCGCCACTGAAGGAATGTGGAGTGTGATCGCCACTGTAGCCACAGGACTCGCTGCTGCTTGCCAGGCAGGCGCCACCCTCGTCTTCGCCTACGGCATCATGGAACGAGTCGATGCGTCGGGGGAGGATCGGCGGCGTGCACAAGGGGTGGCGCGAGGGCGGTGGCCTTGTAAGAAGACGGGCACGCTTCTTCGAAGGCAGGGGCCCTCTTAGGAAGGCCGCCGACTTGTAACAAACACCCCGCCTTCTTAGAAGGCCATCCCCGCGCGCTACATCCTTGTGCACGCCGCCAGCAGGAGCTTCTGAAGACGCATCGGCCGGAGCACGACGAGGTGCGGAAGCTTGTGGAGAAGGAGGCGGAGTACGTGAAGGCATACGGCGAGGTATCCGATTGGGGGCAGATGGGCACACCCGCGCATGCGACGCTCCTGGTGACCGTGGCGCTCTTCTTGCTCTCTGGCTTCATCATCGCCCTCGACGCCGTGGCCGCGGAGAAGATCTGCTTCCGGGAGTTCTACATCACAGACAGCATCGAGAGCCGCCACGACCTGGGCGGCTTGGACGGGAGTTCAGGGGCAGCGAACGGGGCGCGTTGGCCCAGGGGAGGAGGAGGAGGAGGAGGAGGAGCAGCAGGAGGAGGAGTTACGGACATTGCGACTGTGTCGGTTACGTGTGTGTGTGTGTTTGTAATTGACGAGCCGCTCTTCTGGCCTTATCAGCTTTACTGTAAGTTCTAGGCCAGATCCCCCGCTCAATATTCCCAAGGTAATCTACACGACTACCTGCAGGTGGGCCAACTCCTTCCGAGTTGGGCCAACTGTTGGGCCGCAAAACATCCGCAGGTGCCGCAAAACCAAATCCCCAGCCCAGCGTGAAACTGTAACAACTGAGTTTCATCAGCCCACGCCCCGCAGATGTGCACCCTGCAGCGGGGGGTCGGCCTGAAAATTTCGCCATCTATACCCCTCAGGTCACAGCATGGGGTATCCAACCAATTCTTCGCATGGCTGTGGTCGTGGAGCTCCTACACTGTTGACAAGAGAGCTTGCTATCAGATAACGTATGCACTGTGGAAATTGCACACCACAGGTGCTGGCGGCCTGGGCCCAGGATTCCTGACTCGGGTTCCTCGGGGTTCCTCGATCGCCAGGGCCTGCTCAGCTTTCAAAGTTTCTAAGGTGGCCAACAAAATTCTCATGCGGACGGCGAAAGCCATGCTTTCACTGGTGAAAACCTTATTCCTGCTGTCTGCAGGGGTGCGGACAGCTCTGGCAGCGGTTTCGGCTAGCTTGTCCGGCGCCGCGTTCCCCACAGTCAAAACAGAGGGGTTCTGCCGTGGACGACGTCCCGAGCCTCTTGATGAGAATGAACAAAAAGGACCGTGCAACACATCTCTTGCTTTTTCTTTAAAGCCTGACCAACCTGGTGCCGCAAATCCGCGTTTCCCCATCAGGGGCGAAAGCTCGGCCACAATACCATCCCGAACAGACACTATAATTGTTTTTGGTATATATCACAATTCCATCGGCGCCGGTCAGCGCAGACAGGAAATTGTAAAGTTCACCCGTGGCCACAGTCTGCTGGGGTCCTGGCAAGCCCCCCACGCAGACGCCACCAGCTGCAGATTCTCAGAAATATCAGAATACTATGCTATGCCGCAGCCCACTCTACGGAGCCGAGGGTCGCTGGTATCTTCGCCCCCGCTGGCATCCCCGAAGAGACAGACAGGGGCCGAAACCGAGCCGCGACCGAAACAGGTATCTTTGAACGCCCTTATGCCCTCGCTCCACCAGACAGCCTCCTCTTGCGGGGGCCGAACTGAGACCCACGATTGCGGCAAGAGGCCTCGATGCCAAAGACACGGTTCAACATCGTGCTGTGTGTGGGCCCTAGGGGCACATTGATTTGAGAGTCTGTAAATGTCATGATCAACACACTTCGAACAGCTCCACATGCGGTGAAACGAAGACTCTCTCTCACTGCGGCATTGGGCACCAGTCTGAGATACTGGCAACTTGGATTTATCAGACCTGCGCTCTCGCGGCCAGGCTCCTCCTGCCGCCGCTGACAAAAGCATGCCCGACAGCTGTCTGCCGTTGGGCGCCTCCTCCAGTTGGCGGAGAAGTGTTCGGAGCGAGAGGTCGCAGATCCCTCCCTCCATGCCAGCGCAATCAAAATGAGTTGCGGCCTGACGCCACAACCTCTGCACGACGGCGCCCTCGCACTCCTGCAAGAAGGCCTTGAGCACATGAACTTACTCAAAACCTACGAGAGCCTCCTGGGTTGAACTGCCGGTGGTGCTGGATCTCCGACCCGTCGCTCTGAACGCGCCAGTCGACTGCTCCCTCTGGTTCCCAGCCCTCCTGCAGAAGGTCGGCAATCACTGCAGCCTGCGGCCCTCGTATGTGGCGGCTGCGCCGCTGCGGACTCACGGAGCGACACTCTTGGGCAAGCCGCCTCCAAGTTCGCTCGATGCCGCTACGCATCGCAGGCTGCGCAAACCATGTCCGAATCCACATCTGCAGGCACTCCCGCGGCATCCGATATGCTGGATCGCGCCCTAGGGCACGCAAGCCCAGCAGCGCCGCAACGCATCGCCCTGTGAGCCGAGGGCTAGATGCATCGCACAGGAAAGACCTCATCTGCCTGATTCTGTGGCCGAAAGCTCCATGAACCTGATGGGCATATGTACCCGCGGCTGCTGCGCCCTGGTGCTCCAGTCGCGTCGTCGGCCTGCACCTACGCGCCGCGCGCGTACTTCACGACCTTACGGTGCGTTCTCTGGTGGCGAGCTGCCCCTGCCGTCCTGGCCGCACGAACGCGCCGTCGCCCACCGCCGACATCAACGCCAAGATAAGGAGTCTGCGCCGCCGCTGCCACCGAGAAACCGACCGCTTTGAGGCGCCCCGCGATTGCCATGGCATCCACGAGCTCGGTGCAGACCACCGCGCTGTCGGGGGGGGTTCTTGAGGCCCTCGCCTGCATCAGAATGCACGTCTCCTTCAGACATGCCACAAGTCGATCGCGCACAGCTCGCCTCGACCCTTTCGCAACCTGACTCAACAACATGTGCCCTGGTTCACCATCCACTGATGCGATCCGTCATCGGCGCAGATCTGGACGGGGTAACCTCCAGAACAGTGTCGGCGCGAAACTTGGGCCCCTCTACGCGAAAGCGCCCAAGGCTGGCCTGGCCATGGTGCGAGGCGAAGCTGGCCTCCACCGTGCGAACCCACGCACTGAAAGGACTGCTGATGATATCACAATGACGCGAGCCAAGGGGGTGCGCTACGGATCGCACAACAGCCTCCGCAGGCGGATAAGTGCACGAAAGAATGAACCCGATGTTTTTCTTTCCGGCGCTCAAAGTGGCCTCAGCAATGCTATAATCAACGTTGGAGTTCAAATTCCACTCTGACCCGGTGAGGCGATGGCTCGCGAAATACTTCGTGAGACAGATGCATGGGGCGACTATCTCAGGGGTTCTTACGCTGGGCTGGATCACGACTTGACTGCTCTGAAACAACTATCATAAAAGAGGTGGCGGGCGGGGCGGGAAGGGGGTCCGAAGTTGGGCTCGGAGGCCCACGGGCCCTCCTCTTCGTCCGAGTCGCAGTGCTCACCTCCCAGCGGGTCGCCAACACATGTCTCGGCCTCGCTGAGGGGGGCTTGCGGCCCTTCCCCCTCCACTTCGCCAACGCTCTCAACGGGAAACCACTGGCGAATTCGATCGTGCCTCTTTGCTTAGCCAACTGCCGTGCGAGCCTACGCTCCACCTTCGCTCGGCTCGACTTGGAGCCTCCCACGGGCAGCCTAGCTGGACGGGCCACTAGTGGGAGCTGGCGTGGAAGATCGAGAAAGACTGCCTTCCAAGACGAGCTCAAAACTGAGACCTATGTGGGGTCTCCAAGGAACGCCCAGGACGGCCCTGAGCCCAATGATATAAGGCCCAGCAGCCCCAGGGCACAGAGCAACATCTAAATGCGAGGGCCCATTGTCCCCCGACGCGCATGTGTACTTAGCCTCGGATGTGACTACGACGCCCGCTACTTTGTCCACGAAACCTGTGGCACCCAACTGCGCTGGCGACATGTTCCAGTCGCCGATAGCGATCCATGGCAACTGGATGGATGCGAGCAAACTGCCAAGTCGCCTGAAACGTGAGACCTTGTCGCCACTGAGGCCGATCCCCGAGTGGTCGTAAAAGATGCACACAATGATGGAAAAAGACTTCGCATGTTGAGCAAGACTGGCAAGAGACCATCGAACGCTGCGCTCCCACCATGACGAAGCGCAGGGGAATTCCGAGCAGCATCAACAATCTGAGCAGGACGATGGCTACGCACCATCCAATCACCTCCTTCATTCGCTCGAGCTTCCTGATCGGGGTGGACTCGCTTCCATCTGATTTTGGCTCTGGCGCCATTGGCCAGCAGCTTCAAACCTGCACCTCTTGTCTTGGACGCCCACTTGCCCAAGTCACGCCGATGCACGTGGGTCTCGCACGCAGAAACGTAGCCGCGTGACTTAGCAGCTTGACAAAGATAATCCCAACTCTGCTCTCCGACGCAGGTCACATTCCCAAAGAAAAGTTTCGTCGATCTGGCCGACGATCCTACAGATGGCGCAGTACCACACGCACTACCAGTACTCGAAGTAAACGCACCAGTGCCTGCAGGATTGCTGCACTCCCCACTCGACGTCGGAGTAGACGTCGCCCACGATGGGACTGCCACAGCCCCTAGTCACAACTCCTCTTCACTCTCGGATACCTCGATGTCGTTGGCGCCTTTGCCGCCCCCCTTGCCCTGCTCGACTGCCCGTGCTGCGTCGAACCTGGCCTTGGTATAGCAGCCGCCGCCTTCTTGATCATCTGCGCCGCCGCCGCTGGGCCCCCCGCTGGCGCCGTGGCTCCACAGGCTGCGCCTGGGACCGCGGTGGGTGGGGGGGGCGCCTCGCCCGCGCCAGGGGCCGCGCCGGCGCCCCCCGCGGGGGGCCCCGCAGCTGCCGCCGCGCGCGCGCCACTGCCTGCATCCCTTGCAGCTCCACCAGCACCGCCTGTGCGACGTTTCTTGCCCATGCGCCCCATCACCTCCTTCTCGAACTTCTCGACTTTGCCGAGAAAAGCGCAAACCCGGGCGTCCGTGGACTCGAAGGCCGAGCGATGCGAAGTCAATTATGTCTTCAACTCCCTGAGGTGGATCTCGTTGTTCTCCTTGCAGTCCCAACACTCGAACTGGTCGAAGATGGCTGAATTGATGCGGAGCTCGAAAGCAGGCGCCCGGCCATCAGCGGCGCTGACCGCCTGCGTGGCCTGCACCCCTTCGGCCTTAGCCAGGTCCTCCGCCGCCTCCTGTTCCTTGGTCTCTGCCAACTGCAGCTGCCTCCTCAGGCGGAGGACCTGCTTGACCGTCTGCTCGTGGCGGCGGGACGCCGCGCGCCAAGCTCCGTCAGCCGTGCGCACCGTCTCCGCCTCCGACACCGTCTCCCCCTGCTGCGCCATGAGCTGCAGCCGCCCCTGCTGCGCTGCCAAGGCCGACCTCAGCACCTCGTCGTGAGAGACCTCCGCGGCCTTCTGAGCAACGCCTGCAGCTCCGCAGCCTGCTGTACCTTGGCCGCTCCCCCGCAGTCCCGCTTGGGACTGCGGCGCCGACCGCGACGCCGCTGGGTGCTCCACCCGCCTGCGTCGTCGCCCTCGTCCTGCTGCACCACGATCTCCTCGACCTCGACATTCTTATCGAAAGTGACGCTGGGAGACCGAAGGGCAAAGAGGCGAATCTTCTTGCTGCAATTTGGACACTTGGCCCCCGTCGCAGCCAACTTGTAATTGTACTCACATGTCGTGCAATGCGCACATCTGCTCCATGGGCGAGGCCGAGCTGTCGACCGCCCGCGGCTGCTGCCGCTCGATGGAGGCACTGCACCTGCTGCTGACATCCCTGCTTTCGTTCGCCCCGCGAGTGTGGCTGGACTCGCTGAGGCTATCCCTTAAGCACCCCGAGGAAAGTACAGGGATCGGGTTCTGGCAAAATGCTCGAGACCCATTGGCTTGAGGGAAGAGGAGGAGGAGGAGGAGGAGGAGGAGGAGGAGGAGGAGGAGGAGGAGGAGGAGGAGGCGGGGGGGGGGAGCAGGAGGAGGAGGAGGAGGAGGAGGAGGAGGAGGAGGACTGAACCGGTCGCCCCCCCCCCCCACACACCGCCCAAGCACCGCCGATGCGGGCCTGGGCACCCCACCCCTCTCGGGAACGCGCGGCTTCGCCATCGGGGACCCATCGCCGATCCGTCGGCGACGCGTCGCCGAATGCAGGTCGATGCCGCCCACCTACCAATCTATCAACATAGGCCCCCCCCCACCAAGCAACCTAGAAAACCCTTCCCAGGGAGGCCAACCAGTACCAACCTGGACCCACCTTCCACTGACCAACCTAGGCCCCCCCCCCCTCGGGACAATTGGCGTTTACTGAACGACCCTGTGCGTTTACCAAAAACGCTGCCATGTTCGATTCCTCCTTTGGGTGCGTTTACTGAACGGCCTCGCTTGTCGGGGTGGTTCTTGTGGGGGTGGATTTGTTGCCGTTTACATCACCCTGTGAGCCAGCACTTCCGTTCCACCCTGGGAGGCCACCCGGTACCAACCTGGACCCACCCTCCACGAACCAACCTGGGGACCCCCCCCTCGAGGGGCGCCAGCCTACCAACCTAGACCCCCGCCAACTAACCTCCGACCCCCATCTCACCCTGTGGGCCAGCACCTCCCTTCCGCCTCCCCCCAGGAATGTGCTCAGCGTGGTCCTCGCGCCGTGGGGCTGGCGCGCACTCGGCCTCGCGGCTGCTGCGCTCGCGCTGCACTTCGGGTTCGGGCAGTGGCTGGCGGCCTCGGCGCGAGCTGCACTGAGGGGGCCCGGCCACAGTGAGCCGCCCGAGCCCAGCCACAGTGAGCCGTCGGGCAGTGCCGCTGACTGAACTCGTGGACTTGCAGATTCCTTTGCCACGAAGGAGCAGGGGCTTTTGAGGGACAGGGCCTGTGGTTTGTTCCCCTGGTCTTCGGCGTCTCGGGGCTCTTCCCAGGGCCTGGGACCCTCTCAATCAGCCTGGCGAAGGACCCAACCGTCTGCAATTGTGATGACCGCCTTCGGTTGAGCTCCCTGTGGGGCCACGAGCCGCAGAGATGGATTTGGACATGCGGAGATCCAAAGCAAGGATCAAGAGGAGGCGGAGGAGGAGGAAGAGGAGGAGGAAACGGAAGCGGAGGAGGCGGAGGAGGAGGCAGAGGAGGAGGCGGAGTTGGAGGAGGCCGAGGAGGAGGAGGAGGAGGAGGAGGATAAGGAGAGCCGGAGGCGGAGGAGGAGGAGGCGGAGCAGGTGGACGAAGAGGAGGTTGAGGAGATGTTCAAGCAAGCAGCGGCAACTGGGGAAGCAGGTAACACGGAGTTACGTTTACCAACGCTGTGTGGCTCAAGGTTGTAACGGTCGGACGTCTGACCCATCCGACCGCAGTCTGAAAGCAACCGCGCATAATTACGCTGACTCCTTTTGGATATGCTGCATGGTAGCGGAGCGTCGGTTGAATGGCAGGAGTTGGACCAGCTGCCTTTACCCCAGGCCCGCAGGACCCACCCAGTGAACTCCGTTTACCCGCGGATCGGGAGGCTTGGATTAAACTGGATGCCCAGAGACTCATGGACAGATGTGTGCCGTCAACGGGTGATGGAAACTTTGACTATGTAAGAACCGCGCTGCGTGCCGCACATAAAGGGAATCAGAGATTTCATTGCCGACCGTACCACCACGAACACCACGAAGGTTATCCCGCAAGAAGCGTTCGAGATGCACCAAATACAGCAGAATATGAATGCCACTGCGATGAGTGTCGCTAATCGAAACTCAGTGGCGGAAGGAGGCGCTCGCAGCCTTTATTGATCAGTCGAAAGCATCGCGGCGAGCACGAACACGCATGGTGACATGTTGAAAAATACCTCCAAGTTAAGCGATGCCCTCAACAACGGTGGGCGAAAACGAGGAGGCGACAACAGTAAGCCAATCAGCGAGCACAAGGCCCCACGGAACTCAAAGCCATGACAGGCGACAGAGCTGAATTCACAGAGCGGACCGGCAAGTTACTCAACGTTCTGGAACACGTACGGCTGAACTACCGTGGGACAGATAAGTCCCTCACCAAGATAGTGGAGACAATGGACGCAATTGTCTCTGAGGAAGGACCAGAGGATTGGTTGAGAGTTTGAAATTGGCGAATAATGCAAGTTGAATACCCGGAGGCCAGCACAGCCAGGCAGCCGCAGGATGATGACGAAGGGGAGTTTGAGCTCACCGACGAGAACATGAACAAACTCGATGAGGCTCTCTGACATGTTACAACAGAAAGTTCGTGGGATCCGACGCACGCGGCAAGCGGCAAATTCACAGGGTCAACGGACGGAGATGGACGCGCCGCATATAAGAAATCTACAAGTATTACTAGGCAGCCACAGGAGTTGCCTCGGCGTATAAGATGTCACAGGCAATGAATCTTGAACGGCCCTAGCGAGTTAACGAAGTCTCTGGCGAACTAGAAGAATGACGTGCTTTGGCGCAGGCGCTAGAAAGCATGGTGGTGCGCGCGCAGCGCCCACGCCCTTCAGAGTTACTGCCGTCCGCGCGAGCATGATCCATGCAATTGGCTGGTCCGACGAGTGGCAACAAAGGCAATACTTTACGCCAGATGGCCTTCACGTCGACGCCCACCAGGAACTCAACGCTAAATTTGAAGACCGGGCCAGGGAGAAGTTGGAGGCGGACACTAAAAGTCACGATGCCATGGGCGTAGGAATTGTTGACAATGGCTCGGACGGCTCCAGTTCCGTCGTGATTTATAACGCAGATGGCTGGGGTGCTCAAGGACGGGCCGATGGCGACGGCAACTGGTGGCCCGACGGCGGTCGCCCGCAAAGTGGGACTGACCGCGGGAACGAAGATGTGGACGCAGTTGCACAAGGCACAAGGAAAGGTGCCACATTTAACACATGCGGCGGATTCGGGCACCTGGCCAAGGATTGTCAGGAGCCCGAGAATGACAAAGGCGAAGGGGAAGGAGGTGAACGGGGCAAAAGGCCAGAGAAGTGACCGAACCTCTTGGGGCCATAACCTTAAGAGAAATACGGAGGCGAAAGTCAAAACCGAGGACAGTGCAATTATGGTTGCACGGGGTTTGTTCAGAATGCTGATCGCGAGTGCTACGAATGTTGCGGCAAAGGACGCGCTGCCGTTAAACGCCCGAAGTCAGCCAACGCAGTGGAGGAGAGTCACCGAGGTGGCGCGAAGCGCGCCGTGCTCGGACAACCACGGGAGCGCGCTGTCGCTGGATTAACGAGCGAGGGCGATCGAATGGAAACCATGATTGGCTCTACTAATCCACCGGCCACTACTGAACCGCTTGATAAATGGAGGACAGAGGCATGGAAGAAAAAGAACCAACAGAATCGAGGCCCTGCATACACGTGCTCAAACGTCGCCAACTGCATCAACGAGAGCACGGCTGCGACCGCGGATGTCATTCGATTCGCCGCAGTTTTCAGCACGGCAGCCGCAGTTGCCCATCGAACGGTCGATGCGCGGGGCGCGGGGGGGCCCGGAGA